GTATCAGCCAATACCAGATGAAAGTCAATTTCTGAAAGCAGTATACACTTGGGTGAAACATCTTTAAAAAGGTAAAGGCAACTCCAGGAGCTATACGTAGCTTAGACCCATTAACAACTGACTCTTTCAACAGTTAAGGAATGAGTCTTTGTCATAAAGAGGGAGGAGGCTGGGAAGAGAAGGTTTGGGCAATGTAACATTCACTCTATCAGTATATTTGGATCCCCTTGCTTCTTCCTATAAGATCACCCCATTTGTAAACAGCTCCTCCAGGATCCAAATTTGTCCTATGGGATGAGTTACACCTGTGGTGCAATAGCAGCTCTCAAAACTTTAAGTGATACCCATCAGCTAATACACTAGCTGGGCTAGGTGACTTGTATAGTGGCATGACCGAGCCCTCATTCCCAAGCTATATGAGTCCCTTGCCATTATGCCTTTCTCAATCTCTGCACTTATCCAGTTATGTCAAATTGGCAAGAGAATCAAGAGTTGGCCCAGTGGATCCCCCAAGTGACAAACCATTTCCCTGTTTCTATGGTAGGACAGTAGTCCTGATTCTTCCTGACCAGCAGAGCCAATTATCCCTATTAGATGATTCATATTTGCATGCCGGTCTCTTGAAGCATGCAGCCCAAAGTAGGTAGTAGAAACCATAGAGTAGAGTCCTTGGCTAGAGATACTTCTTGTCTAGAAAACAAAGTCTACCAAATGTGTGCCTGAAGATGATATGCAATAATTTATTTTTAATTGACAGATAATAATTGTGCATGTTATATTTTGGAGATGGATGCCCCAGAATATCCTAGAACACTAGATCTTAAATATTTCTGATGTACCGATTCCCAAATCTCCATGGTGTTTTACCTCCCACCGCCGGAAGCATCTATATCTTACCAAAGCCTCCAACACACTTTTTCCTTGCTTTTCTGACCCAACTAACATATTTTCATCAATATAGAGAACTTATATATTTATACAGTCTAAGGTCCCTCAAATTCATTATGTTAGAAACCAGGAGGGTCAGAACAACTCATAAATGTACACTGTCATCTCTACCCCAACCACCACATGAATATAAGAACTATTTCTGAGTCACCTTAGTAAGTGTGGAAAAGAACACATTTGCTGGAATGGTGGATACAAACCATAGTCCTAAGGCTGTACAAATATATAACATCCAGATAAGCAGCAACAGCCAGGATTACAACTAGATTGAGTTGGCAGTGGTCCATCATTATTTGCCAAGGCCCATCTGATTTTGGTAGGGACCAAGCTAATGAACAAAATGGGGATGTCATGAAGACCATTCTATCTCATTTAAGTGTGCAATAATATCACTAGTCTGTACCATTTAGTTTAAGATATGATATTGTTTTTCATGAACTATCACATCTGAGAAGGGTGGAAAATTTTAAAGGTCTTGTCCACTGTGATAGATCTTTCCCACATGGGCCAAGAAAGGAATATGGGGTTTCTACTCTGTACCCAGTTTGTTCACCCCAGTTATATGTTAAGTGGACCAAGAGAATGACCATGAATTACGTTCATAGTCCCACTGTGAGCTGAACTGTGTCAAGACTCCATCTATTACCTGGCCTCCATATGTGCCCATTGTAACAGGACCATAACAGTATTTCAGTTCTCCACATATGAATGTGAACTTGGACCCAGTATCCAACAGTGCTCAATGTGTCTCCACACTTTTTTCTTAGTACCGAATGAACCAGGTAAATCATTGCGGGTTTCTTTGGTGAAGGTGGGGCATATTCTTATCATATACGCTTGCCACAGACTTCCCAGATCCTTCTTCCTGAGGACTTGGCTTCTTGATTCAATGAATTTCATGTCTCTGAATTTGTTCAACTCCAGAAACTGGGCAAATATTATGACATTTTATTTTTCAGGCTGCCCTTGGCCTCCCATCCATCCATCCTTAATATGTTATTATTGCAAGGATTAAGCCACAGCACTATTGACTGCCCACCTCTTTTGCCCTTAAGGATAGTATATCCTATCAGTCATCTCTATAACCCTCTGAGGGTTATACCCTCTTGCTGCCATTCCAACCTTACCACTCATTACAATAATTTCACCCACTTTGCTTTTAATTAAGTGTTACTACCCTGCCTCTATTATTTTGAGATTCAACCATTCCCATTTTAATCAGAGAAACTGGTTCTTGAACAGTATCCCCTACAGTCATCCCTGGCTGCAGAGGACAGCCACCACCTGTCTTAGGGCAGCTGATCACCCTCTCCCCACTGCATCCTACATCCCTTTGTTCCATGGAGTGTCCTACAGACCCTCCTAAGAAACAAAGGAGTCTTTTAGAGTGGTCCATCCACTCTTTCCTGAGTTTTTATGTCTTTCTTCTACTGTCTGCCACAGAACTCTGGCACTTCTCCTTCTCACTGCTTTCTCTAAGCTTCGAAGAGTCACCCATACATTTCATTAGCACAGAGCCCTGGGGTCCTTTTGTGCATCCTGGGAGAGTTAAATCCAGTATCAAAAGAGTGCTCTCATTTTGATCAATTCTTCTTTTTCGACTATATGCTTTATCACCCCTAATTCAGCACCATTGGGTTCCAATCTCATGTATGTATCCTATCTGCACATTTGTAATGGCTAGGCCTCTAGCTCTTTTGGCCTAGATTTCCTTTTTCTCTCAGCAGACTGTCCCCTCCCTGGTCAAGTTATGTTTATATTTAGCAACATTTATTAGTATGATGGACAAAAGAGGTAGTGTAGTTTCACCCTGAGGCTAGCAGGTGATATTTTGCAAGTAAAGGCCTCTGCATTGTCTTTGAGCTAGAAGGATCACTACCCTTAAATAGTAAGGAAAGGGCCACAAGGTGCAGGGAGCTGAGCACCAAGCTCCCTGTGTGCACTGACCCAAAAGTCAATGTCCTAAATCTCAGAGTTCCACGCAGTCCAAACTTAGGTTCTGAGTTTAACAAAGGAAACTTGCTAAGAGGCAAGGTGGCTCACGCCTGCAATCCCAGCTACTTGGAAGGCATATGTAGGGGAATTGCAATCCGAGGCCTGCCTGGAGAAAAAGTGCAAAATAAGTAAAACAAAAAAAGCTGGAGTTGTGATTCAAGTGATAGAGCACCTGCCTAACAAATACAAGGGCTTGAGTTCAAACCCTAGTGAAGGAAGGAAGGAAAAAAGGAAGGAAGGGAGGAAGGGAGGAAGGAAGGAAGGAAGGAAGGAAGGAAGGAAGGAAGGAAGGAAGGAAGGAAGGAAGGAAGGAAGGAAGGAAGGAAGGAAGGAGAAAAAGAAAACTTAGAATTTAACCTTCTCTGGAGTTCCACTACCCTGAGCCTGGTCCTCAGTCTTGTCTGCTCTCAACTTACAGAAGCCTTTCCATGTTGCCAAGGAGGACCTCACACTTCTCCCTATCTTGATAACTAATTACCATCAGTCTTTCAGTGTCTTTTTCCAATGCATTATTGATAGCCCTTAGCAACCTGATTCTACAATTCTATAATCTTTACATTCTGCTACGATTTATTTTTGAGACAGACCTTTGCTATGTTTCCTAGGCTGGCCTCAAACTCCTGAGTTCATATGATCTTCCTGCCTCAGCCTCCTGAGATCTGCTGTCATCTGAATGTGTGTCCTCCAAAATTCAAGTGCTACCAATGTGATTATATTAAGAGGTAGGGGCTTTAAGAAATGATTAGGCCAAGAGGGCACCTCCTTAATAAATTGGATTAGGTACCCTTAAAAAGAGGATTGATCAGGGGTGGGAGTTGGTTCCTGTCCACCTTTCACTATGTGAGGATGCAATAAGAAGGCTCACACCAGCTGCTCATGACTTGATCTTGAATTTCCCAACTTCCAGAACTCTGACAAAAAAATAGCTGTTCTTCATAAATTACCTTGTTTTAGATATTTTGTGATAGCAGCATAAAATAGACTGGGACAAACTCACAACCTTCCCTCACCATTCAAGTATCTGACATATTGCACCAGTCAGTGCATTCCTTTCCACTGATACTCCATTCCTGTTTTAGTCCTCATGCTTTCTGCATACCAAGAAGTGACCTACCATTGCCCATGGCTATGCAGCTAGTGGATGATCTAGCCCTCAAATCTCAATTAAAAACTGCTTCTTAGAACCACTTCTGGTACTATCTTAGGTCAAAGTTTTCATGAAGGAGCTTTCTGGAGGTCAAGAGCTTGGATGCCCACAAAACCTCTGAAGAAATGAGGGAAGTGAGTTGGGCAGAGAAAAAAGATGAACTGCAATGAAACAGTAACACAAACTTCAGCCGAAGCCACAGGGAGGTCTGTAACTAGGAAGGCCTTTCAGAGTTGTCCCCAAATGTGGCAAGGGGACTGCCTTTACACTCCTGTGTCACTAGTCATTGAAAGTAATTGGCCTCCAGGAAGTGGGGGGTCACACTGCAAAACATCTCTTGTGGTCCTTAGAGAGGGATACAGCTATGAGCAGCCAATACTGAGCAGCAGGGAAAATGAGCTCAGTGTGGAAGGGGGAACCTGGTCAAGTACACACAGTATCTACCTCACCTGCCTTTGCATTAAGCCATTAAAGGACATAATTCAAGTGCAAAGGATGATAAAACAGAGAGACTTGCTCTACAAGATTAAACACAGCTAAAAGCAAGAGATTAAGAAACCCCTGGCAAATTTTGATGAGAGGAGAGATAGATAAGGAACATCACAGGCTTTGCAGTGACGTGTTTACTTAGGGTACTACAGCTTGGAGAGCTACTTGGCCATAGTATAAGCATTCAAGTTTTCCTGAAAAGAAAGGAGAAGAAGAAAAAAGAGAGAGGGGTGAGGGAAAGGGAGAGAGGCTCAAAACAAGGACAAAGCAAGCTGTCCTATGTGGCAAGCCTTTCAACAAGCTTTAAGTCTTTGGTTGCATGAAGGTTTACATACCTTCATGACTTTTGGCAAAAAAAAAAAGAAGAATTTTTTTGCAGTGGGTTTGCTGTCAGAATGCAGGTGTGAAAACCACCACTAAGGCGGAGCCAAAATAAAAAAGGAAAAGACTCACATCAACATCGTCATCATTAGGCACGTAGATCCTGGAAAGTCCACCACTATTGGCCATCTAATCTACAAACATGGTGGAATCAACAAAAGAACGACCAAATTATTTGAGAAGGAGGCTGCTAAGATGGGGAAGGGCTCCTTCAAGTATGTCTGGGTCTTAGATAAACTGAAGGCTAGCATAAGATGTCAGTGGTATCACAATTGACATCTCCCTGTGGACATTTGCGACCAGCAGTATTATGTGGACCATCATTGATGCCCCAGGACACAAAGTCTTCATCAAAAACATGATTACAGGCACATCTCAGGCTGACTGTGTTGTCCTAATTGTTGCTGCCGGTGTTGGTGAATTTGAAGCGGGCGTCTCCAAGAATGGGCAGACCCATGAGCATACCCTTCTGGCTTACACTTTCAGTGTGAAACAACTAATCATTGGTGTTAACAAAATGGATTCCACAGAACCATCCTACAGCCAGAAGAGATACAAGAAAATTGTTAAGAAAGTCAGCACCTACATTAAGAAAATTGGCTTACAACCCTGACACAGTAGCATTTGTGCCAATGTCTGGTTGGAATGGTGATAACATGCTGGAGTCAAGTGCTAATATGGCTTGGTTCAAGGAATGGAAAGTCACCTGTAAAGATGGCAGTACCAGTGGAACCACACTGCTTGAAGTTTTGGATTGTATCCTACCACCAACTCGCCCAACTGACGAGTCTCTGCACCTGCCTTTTCAGGATGTCTATAAAATTGGTGGTATTGGTACTGTATCTGTGGGCCTAGTGGAGAATGGTGTTCTCAAACCTGGCATGGTGGTCACCTTTGCTCCAGTCAATGTCACAACTGAAGTAAAGTCTGCTGAAATGCATTGTGAAGCTTTGAGTGAAGCTCTTCGTGGAGACAATGTGGGCTTCAGTGTCAAGAAGGTGTCTGTCAAAGATGTTCATTGTGGCAATGTTGCTGGTGACAGCAAGAATGACCCACCAATGGCTGCAGCTGGCTTCACTGCTCAGGTGATTATTCTGAACCACCCAGAACAGATCAGTGCTGGCTATGCCCCTGTATCTGGTTGCCTCACAGCTCACATTGCTTGCAAGTTTGCTGAGCTGAAAGAAAAGATTGATCATCATTCTGGTAAGAAGCTGGAAGACGGCCCTAAATTCTTGAAATCTGCTATCATTGATATGGTTCCAGGCAAGCTCATGTGTGTTGAAAGCTTCTCTGTCTATCCTCCTCTGGGTCATTTTGCTGTTTGTGATATGAGACAGATTGTTGCTGTGGGTGTCATCAAAGCCATGGACAAGAAGGTTGATGGAGCTGGCAAGGTCACCAAATCTGCCCAGAAAGCTCAGAAGGTTGAATGAATACTCTCCTAACACCTGTCACTTCAGTCTTAATCAGTGGTGAAAGAACATCTTAGAATGGTTTATCTTAATTGGCCATTTAAGTTTAATAGTAAAAGACTGGTTATTGAACATAATGCACTGTAAAACATTCAGAAGGAAAGGAAAATGTTTTGTGTACCATTTTGTGTGTGTGTGGTGTGTGTGTGTGTGAATTTTAAGTTGTTAGTTTTTAAAAATCAGCAATTTTTAATGGCAACAACTTGACCAAAAATCTGTCACAGAATTTTGAGAACCATTAAAACAAAGTTTAATGAGAAAATGAAGAAGAAGAAGAAGAAGAAGAAGAAGAAGAAGAAGAAGAAGAAGAAGAAGAAGAGAAGAAGAAGAAGAAGAAAAAGGAGAAGGAAGAAGAAAAGGAGAAGGAAGAAGGAAGAAGGAAGAAGAAAGAAGAAAGAAGAAGAAGAAGAAGAAGAAGAAGAAGAAGAAGAAGAAGAAGAAGAAGAAGAAGAAGAAGAAGAAAGGAGAAGGAAGAAGGAAGAAGAAGAAGAAAGAAGAAAGGAGAAGGAAGAAGGAAGAAGGAAGAAGGAAGAAGGAAGAAGAAGAAGAAGAAAAGAAGAAGAAGAAGAAGAAGAAGAAGAAAGAAGAAGAAGAAGAAGAAGAAGAAGAAGAAGGAGGAAGAAGAACAAGAAGAAGAAGAAGAAAGAAGAAGAGAGAAGAAGAAGAAGAAGAAAGAAAAGAAGAAGAAGAAAGAAGAAGAAGAAGAAGAAGAAGGAAGAAGGAGAAGGAAGAAGAAAGAAGAAAAGAAGAAGAGAAGAAGAAAAGGAAGAAGGAAGAAGGAAGAAGAAAAGAGAAGAGAAAGGAAAGGAAGAAGGAAGAAGAAGAAGAAAGAAGAAAGGAGAAGGAAGAAGGAAGAAGGAAGAAGGAAGAAGGAAGAAAGGAAGAAGAAGAAGAAGAAGAAGAAGAAGAAGAAGAAGAAGAAGAAGAAGAAGAAGAGAAGAAGAAGAGAAGAAGAAGGAAGAAGGAGAAGAAGAAGAAGAAGAAGAAGAAAGGAGAAGGAAAGAGAAGAAGGAAGAAGGAAGAAGGAAGAAGAAGAAGAAGAAGAAGAAGAAGAAAAGAAGAAGAAAGAAGAAGAAGAAGAAGAAAGGAGAAGGAAGAAGGAAGAAGAAGAAGAGAAGAAAGGAGAAGGAAGAAGGAAGAAGAAGAAGAGAAGAAAGGAGAAGGAAGAAGGAAGAAGAAAGAAGAAAAGAAAGGAGAAGGAAGAAGAAGAAGGAAGAAGGAAGAAGGAAGAAAGAAGAAGAAGAAGAAGAAGAAAGAAGAAGAAAGAAGAAGAAGAAGAAGAAAGAGAAAGGGAAGGAAGAAGGAAGAAGAAGAAGAAGAAAGAAGAAAGGAGAAGGAAGAAGAAGAAGAAAAGAAGAAAGGAGAGGAAGAAAGGAAGAAGAAGAAGAAAGAAGAAGGAGAAAGAAGAAGGAAGAAGGAAGAAGAAGAAGAAAGAAGAAGAAGAAGAAGAAGAAGAAAAGAAGAAGAAGAAGAAGAAGAAGAAGAAAGGAGAGGAAGAAGGAAGAAGAAGAAGAAAGAAGAAAGGAGAAGGAAGAAGGAAGAAGGAAGAAGGAAGAAGAAGAAGAAAAGAAAGAAGAGAAGAAGAAGAAAGAAGAAGAAGAAGAAGAAGAAGAGGAAAGGAAGAAGGAAGAAGAAGAAGAAGAAGAAGAAGAAGAAGAAGAAGAAGAAGAAGAAGAAGAGAAGAAGAAGAAGAGAAGAAAGGAGAAGGAGAAGGAAGAAAGAAGAAAAGAAGAAGAAGAAAAGAAGAAGAAGAAAGGAAGAAGAAGAAGAAGAAGAAAGGAGAAGGAAGAAGGAAGAAGAAGAAGAAAGAAGAAAGGAGAAGGAAGAAGGAACAAGGAACAAGGAAGAAGGAAGAAGAAGAAAAGAAGAAGAAGAAGAAGAAAAGAAGAAGAAGAAGAAGAAGAAGAAGAAGAAGAAGAAGAAAGAAGAAGAAGAAGAAGAAGAAGAAGAAGAAGAAGAAGAAGAAAGAAGAAGAAGAAGAAGAAGAAGAAGAAGAAGAGAAGAAAAGAAGAAGAAGAAGAAGAAAGAAAGAAAGAAGAAGAAGAAGAAAGGAGAAGGAAGAAGGAAGAAGGAAGAAGAAAGAAGAAAGAAGAAAGAAGAAGAAGAAGAAGAAGAAGAAGAAGAAGAAGAAGAAGAAGAAGAAGAAGAAGAAGAAGAAGAAGAAGAAAGAGGAAGAAGGAAGAAGGAAGAGGAAGAAGAAGAAAAAATAATCAGGTGAATATCCATGAATTCAATCCTTTTCCTGAGGAAAGTCAAAGAAAAGAAAATGTGTTTTCTGCAGAGAAATGTACTTATACAAACTCTCCCTTAATATCTTGGGGCCAAACTTACTCCAGATAAATATCTCATTATTTTTAATGTTTTATGTGTTTCTGTTGTTCTTTCTATGTTGGAAAATCTTTTCAAGATCCAGTAAGTTTCAGGCTCCCTACTGGCTCTGGAAATACAGGGATGGATACAGGGGCTGTCCCCAAGGTCTCAGGCCTAGAAAGAAAGATTCCATGGAACAAATAAGTTATAGCAGGGGGAGCAAGTGCTGTACTGGATGAGCACATGGAGAGCTTTGGAAGAAGGAACCAGGACAACTATGCAGAGTAATTGAGGGACAGCCGCTGAGACACCGTGAGTGTATGAGACCAGCCAAATTCACTGAATAACTTTGCCACCTTCTGTTTTATTTTCCACACTGTTGTATTGAGCCACTTCAAGACCAGTGCTATTCTTTGCTTCAAATACCTTCTCTGAATCTTGATTCCTAATATGGAAACATAAACATCTGAAGAGTGTGAAAATACTTATAATACTTGCCAAATATAGACACTTTTACAAAAAATTCAAATGTAATGCCTTACTTCTCTGTAGGTAATTTTCAAATGACAATAATAGTTTTGATTTACTGCAACTCAAATCTCAGATACCCCGTGTTAGGAAAATGAAAGAGAGAGAGGGAGAGAGAGAGAGAGAGACAGATACACACAGAGAGAGAATTATGCAGTGAAAACTAAAGGGCTGGTGGAGTGGCTCAGGTGGTAGAGTGCCTGCCTAGCAAGCATGAGGCCCTGAGTTCAAACCCCAGTGCCACCAAAAACAATGGTAAAATAAGTCTGAATATATGAATTTCTATGACACTGGCAAAATTCTTATCAAACTGTAAAAATCATGTTGGCATAAAATGAAAACTAAGGAAGGTAAAAGGGACAACAGTACTGAAGTAGAAATTTTAAATGAACTTGAATGTAGAACTCTACTCCTGTAGGTTTTAGATAAGCTGGAGTTAAACTATACATTAGTGTCTAATGGAGTGAGGTCCAAGAGTTTTATACATTTGAATGCAATCTAGAATAAAAGTTAAGAAAAGCTCCATGGAAGCCTGTAAATACATGTTTTTCAAGCAATAAGTTTTCTGCATTAGTTAGGAAACCAATCAACAGCAAGTCAAAGAAACTGGACCACATTATTTTAGAAACTCTTTTAGTGCATGGGTGCAAGATAACAGTTGCAACCCAGCCATCAGGTCCCTATGCACCGCAGAAGAGAAAAGTCATCATATAGGCTAACTCATTCCTTTTCATCAAGAAAGCAAAAGATTTCCTGGAAATTACCATAGAATTATGTATAATTTCATGGACCAGAATTTGGGTCCACACCCATCTACAGATGAAAAGGTAGCTTGGGTGAAGAATATTTGGATATCCAAATTTGTAATGAGAGATTCCAAGGGAGAATAGAATGGTCAATGGGTTGGAGAGAATTGATTAAAAGTATTAGTCTAAATTTTCATGGATGAAACAAAAACAAATAAATTAGGGTAGAATCTGCAGCCAGAACAATAGTTCTCTGACTGAATGCATTTAACTGGCCCACACCAACTCAGGATCTCATGGATACCCAGAAAATGCCAACCCATTTCTCTCCACCATCAGGATTCTCCTTCCACTATCTGAATTTATGAGACTACAGCCCCGTACTTACTTGTATCAGAGCCTCCATTTTCTTCCCTTTTTCACCTCTAAGAAGGTAGAAAGCAACATTAAAACTTTCTTTTGTTGACTCAGTAGTGTTCCCACTTTTTAAGGCAGTGTTACTGTCTGGGGATAAAAACTGACTTTTTTTGTTTTGAATTCACTTTAGATTCATAGTAATCCCACTAAACATGACTATCACCAGATGAACTCTACAGCATCCACTGGTGTGTATCTTAGTTAATAACTCAAGGTCCCTGGTCATGCACTTGAATGACAGAACGTGACCCTACTACGAGGGTTTCTAAACCTCTTACTTTCTGTGCCAATCTTAAGGTAGCAAAGAATTTGCAATCATCCATGGACATGCACTGAGTAGCTCTGATTTAGAAAAAATAGGAACCTGCTCTTAATTGTTTTCTTTAGCACTGTCATTTAGTCTTTAACCAGATAATAAAAACATGATTGCTGATACTCTTTAATTTTGCCTTCTGGTCCATTCTTTCATCTTATGAACACTAAAATATTTATGAAGCATTCCTCTTATGATTAACCTCTATAACCCACCCCCCAAGTTTTCCACCTCCAAATTTTCTTAGTTAAATAAGAATTGCTATAAAAGAATATCCAGAATCATGATAAACTGCCAATCAACCGGTTCTCCCTATTAGCTAACTGCTTCCAAAGGAGAAACTTGTTGATATAAGCCAAAGGCTTATTGGATATTATGGGCATATGAATTTGTTCATACAGCTGTAGAAAGTATTCTGATGCAGGTTTTATAGATAATTTGCAATTGAAAACCCATTAACAGTATAAGTGGAAATGAATAATGCTAAAATGGACTTTCCAGGTGTGCCAAAATAAGGGTGTAAAATGCATTTGTAAAGTAAGGTAATATACTTGCTATAAAGCAGTCCAATTTTTTTCTCTCCTTTACTAAAAGAAATGGAAGATCATTTTGATTGTTCTGAGACAAATCTGTTGAGAGGCCTACTA